TAATAATAGCAGCTAATGAGCTCTAGAAAAAGTCATAGTAGGACGTTTCTCTGGCAATTTGTTCACCATTTCTTGGGATATGAACGTGTCATTAAAAATTTTCTTGAAGCGTGAAAGTCAATGGAAACTACTCTACCGATAAGTAGAATACCCTGGAATGTCTGGGCCTACGACTTTGTTGTAGGTGGAAAGAATTCAGTCACCTACATTACTTGTAGGTCCCGATGATAATCGATTAGCGAGTGAGCGCTTAATCGGTCCCAATCGACCCTGGCGGTGTGGCCCACCGAACCCAGAGCGCTCGAGGCATACTAGGAGGGAGCAGGAGTTCTAGCTTATCTACACAATATTTATAGGAGGAAAAGTGCGACTTCGTTCCACTTCAGAATCCCACGAACCAATATCAGTGATCACCCAATGCTCTTCAGTGACTAAGTTATGACCATCCACCAAAGGTCGCTAGGAAAGCTCCGTGTACATTGTAAGGGAGTATGGTGTGTGAAGTTATTTCAAATAGGACCCATATTTGATGAATATACTAGAAAAATATTGGAACAAGAGAACCACGGAATATCCACGGAGGAATGGGTAATGTTTGATTAGACTGCTTATAAAAGGTTTTTTCCGTAATTAGTGTATTTAGAGAGTACACAGCGGATTAGTTGTGCTACGGAGTTGTATTTAAGCATGAAAAGTTGCGGATCGCCCTACGAGCTACTACGGTAAGAGGTCCTGACAAGAGGTCAACCTCAAAACTTCTCAACGCAACAAAATGGAAAATGGGAAATGAAGGCGTCACTGAAAAGGCGTGAAATTCAGCTATCACAGACACAGAATCTACTACACTGAGACCAAAAACACCAAGGAGCGATTAGACTTCCGCTTTGTTTATCATTAACAGGAGGAAGTCAATCACCTGTATCACCTGTCGTACCTTTGATCACCGACCAGCCCAAGTGGGCGCCGGTAAAGCTTCCATTCATCCCTGTCGCGAACCAGTGTAGTTCTCTGGATCCTCTCGCTCGAGCAACGAGACATAACATTCATTTCGTGAAAAAGCCCAACCATGAAGTTGACGGTCTACTTGGTGGTGTCTGTTTGAAGTCTTGAAGGAATCAGGCATTAATATGGAAAACAGCTGAAATGCAAAGCCAAACAAGAGGTTTGTACTCCAACTTCCATAGACTAACTTAACTCGAGTAGATTTACAATAGATAGAGAATGGGAGCTCCCAGATTCGCGATTGTTTACTCCGGAAGAATACTTTTCATTGAAGCTCTCTGAAAACCAAGTCTAATAATGGAAAGTCCGAAGAGTTTCCGCCGATTTTCGAAGAAAAAATTCATGTGTGTAAAAATTATAGAAAAAAATGTCAAAAAAACCATAGTAGAAATCTTTTTGAAGATAGTCTGAAGTTTGAATCTTTCATAGATAAACACCGTATCGATTCCACTTTGCTTTGTGATGGCTCGCCATTTTCTTAAAAGTTTCGTTGTGCCTTTTTCGTGGGAGGTACCAGACTCATGGTCAGAATCAAAAAAAAAATGTTTTTGGTACATTTCGCAGTTACCCAGAAAATCCAATCCAGAAATCCAAAATCCAAAGTTTCTCACGATAAGAAATCTGCAGAGATCTGGACAAATGTCAGTTTGGGATGCTATATCCGTGCTATATCAACGTCTCAACCCTACCTCAGCAATTGTTGACGAGTGGTCAAAGATAGTGCAGTCATGCGTTGTCCTGATGGAGGACCACACCTTCATGTTTGCCTATTTCTGGGCGCTTCTGTTCCTGTGCTTTCTTTAAATGTCCAGCTCAGGAACTGTATCTTTCGGAAGTGTTCGTTAAGTTGTGCAGTAGCAGCCTCCATAGGTAATTCCTTTCCAATCCCACCGTAATCGAGCTGTCTTCAGCGCCTAGATTTCGGTTTTTGGAGTAGTCGGTGGTGGTTCGCAGAAAGTAACTCACGACCGAGTCCGCTCCTGTTAACGTACAGAATCCATTCCTCTTTTTTGGCTTTCTTGTGTTTCAGTACATTAACTCTACAGAAACGGAAATTGAAGGCACCGTTCACGATAAAAATGGTTACTGAGTTCTGCCCTCAGGAATTCCAAGTGTCCCCCACAGGTAATAGGAAGTACCCTCTCGCGCTCAAAAACTCGACGGTTAGGGCATAATGGGAGCCCCTTTGCCGGCCCGCTCGGACTCCCTGCCCCTTGATCGATGTCACGACAGGCGAGTGTCTAGGCGATACATATTGCAAGTATTCGCGTCAGGATCCACACACAATCGTCTGGTCCCCGAGTGATGATGCGATGTTTTTCTCTCATTCTTTTTTCTATTATACTCTTTTTGCTGCCGCGATCCCTTTTTATTTCCTACCCCAAAAAGCTGAAAAAGGTTTTTTGTTTAATTATGCTTATAAGCGGATCAATTTTTGCTTACCGTAGTCAGCTCTTCGCACCAGGACCCACAAGAACGCAGTGATGCACAGTGTATAGCTCGTCCAGACGACCCATTATTCTTTATTTTTCTGAGCTCGTTCTCGCCTAGCCCCATTTTTAACGCTTTTTTGAAGCCTTGTCACTCTGGAAGCACCTACTCACCCAGTTTCATCGCCTTCATCCCACTACTTTCCACCTAATCTTCCATTTTTCGTCATAGTCTAAATTACCCAAAATTAACGTAAACTGTGTCTTTTGAGAATCCCAACATGCTCCAGATTGAAACTCAGAAGAATAATTACTTCAGAAAATACATAATTTATTAAGGTTGTATTGATTTGACTTTCTGTAGAAAGGTTTATGCATTCATAATTTTTGCTTACCGTAGTCAGCTCTTTGCACCAGGACCCAGAATCAAACCGAATGCATTCATAATTGGCGGCAACGTTCCAAACAACCCAATAGTTAGGATATTTTGCAGAGCTATTCAAGGAAATTGCCTGCAGCTTTCATATCCTAGATTGGTCCAAAAGGCATTTTTCCTACGAAATTCCCAACAGTGCTACCATAATTGAGCTCTCGCAATAATCCTGCAACTCTGCTTCGAACATACCTGGAACTGATTTGAAGATGATTCGCATACATGACCTGCAGGAACTCTTTTTGCTTGAGCAAGATTTAACCATTTATATCCTGAATCGGGCCTTTAATTTTCTTGGGTAAGCGACTCATTTGAATCAAAGTTTCTCGAGTTAATTAATAAACATAACTTTAGCACAATATTGTAATCAGAAACTTTGACAGTCACTACGATAGTAAATCTTGCAGTCGTCTGAGGCCCACGGGACCTCCTCTAGCCATTGTGACCATGAACAGCGGACGAAAGCTGCTCCTGCGATGTCTGACGCTGTGAAAAATCCTATCTTCACGGTGAAGCATCATACGTTCCAAATAGCCTCATTCTTTTACTTTTGCCAGGGATTTCCTCTTTTCTAGCACCCACAATGTTCTTATCTCCCTTTTATTATATTTTTTATACGAATGCCACGCCGTGGTGCGGCGGCACAGCTGCACTTCACTGTGCTCGGGCAGGTCTCTCCTTGTGTATAACATTGAAGTCAATAACAACCTTTTTTTCTGCAGGAGAGTTTATTTCCTGCATCACGCCTGGGTGATTCTTGCAATGTCGATTAGTGCGGTTTGCTACTGCACTATTTCGATTGCCTGAGATAACCTTGAAGAAAGCGAGACTGGCGCTGCCGTCAGTGCTGCAATTGTCTCGAAGCCTATACAGGTACATACAGACCAACTAATTTAAGGTTCTCTTTAGAAGTATTTTGCTCATTTCTTAATCATCATCTCAATCTACTTCTGATAACCTATTTAAGAAGTATCGAAGAAATTGAAAAGTCGGAGCCAAAATTGGTACTTTCTGCCTGGATCATTGTTCCCCTATTTGATTCTGGTTTGTGTCAAATTCATCTGGTACTATCTATCCATTATATATCGAAGGCCCAGTCCACGATGACCTTGATCTGCCCTTTTCAAGTCGAAAAGTGGATAGCGATTGGGAACAGTGCATGGGTTATGAAAGAAGCTAGGAATTCGGCGATTTCCTAGAAAATAAGGCTTCTCAAAAGTAGTGTAAATAGAGGTTGTGCGAAACGTCCATGACGAAAGCGACCTGTAAGGGCTATTTGGACGAGATTTCCTTTGTTGCGATTGCGCCAAGAGCTGACTACGTCAAGGCAAAACTGCCCACAATTGTCTTTCACTGCTGCTATGGATCATGACAAGTTGCTTGAACTCCCTTCACGGGTTCCCTTGCGTTTGATGCTGCCTCTACATTGCCGGTGAAACTCGTCCGCTCATACACACGGGACAGTCTTTGAGCCTTTAGAGCGCCCTATCTTGGCCGTTTTTCGACCTGACAGCGCCACACACATATGCTATGTGAGGGGTCACAAATTTATCCTCGGGGGCTATTTCACAAGCCATTTTTATCGTGAACTGAACCTTTAAATATAGAAGTCTTTCGAATTAGTCAGTAGAGGTTTGATAACGAGAATGAATTTAACATAGGACCGGCTGTGGACCAATCACTGGAGACCAGTCGACTACGGGGAAGCCATGAATACCTATAGGAATAGGCTCAGACAATGTCAATCGTTTTCATAGCATTTTTTTAAAAAGATTTTGTAGAGTAAATTCAGATGATTTGCATTGCGCCATGCAGTCAACTGTCAGGAATTATTCAAAAGCGCTTCAATAGGTTAGGGTTTACTGCACTCCTGCCTGTTCAACCACCAAGGATTTGATGAAGTTTTTCCCAACAGAGGTCTATAGCCAAAATCTCAAGAGACAGGTACCTGGTACCAGCTTCTGAGCAATTCAGGAAGAAGAACCATGGGAACATTGACGGAGAAAGAACAGCAATTTATCCAATCACACATACATACACATATATGTACTATGTACAGGCGATACGAAAGAAATGAAGGCAGAAATGAGAACACGACATTGTAATGCTTCGGAATCACCAGATGAAGGATTCGATTAAGATTTACGACGACGTACAAACCGATCCATGAACTCTTCACATCTGGTTGACTTTTGTGATCGTCCACTGCTTCGACACGTCAAACCGCCTATCGACCGACCAGAAACGTCTACAAAGAAATTTATTCAAATTGGATTAGAGCCCTACTAATAAAGCTCAATATTTACTCACTTTGTGCGACATATTTATAGTAAACAACAACGGAAACCGTCATAAGAAAGGTGAATCCCAGCATGTAGAAAGTGATAATTTCACCCGTTTGAAATTGCTGAAATATCATAAGAATTCCGGAAATCAATCCAAAAGCTTACTGTAACTTACTGGTAGAGAAGTCATGGGAGCAATGTAAGTAGAGCAGAACCCGACAGAAGAGTCTTTCAGATGGCAGCAGATCCACAAGCTCGAGTAACTCTAAAATGCTGCACAGACGCATTACATCGTATCGATCTCGGGCTCAGAGGGAGGCTGAGGTGGCCCTCCTATTGCTAGGCCATCTCATTCTTCACTCACACACTCTCTCTCCGAAAGCAATTAGCCTTGGAGCACGAAATTTTCACGATGTGTCTTGGGCGGTACTTCACTTCAACAAAGCAGATCTAGGACTTGTATATGGATCTGAAATCGTTTAATTTTGTGGAATCGTGAAGCGAATCGAGGAATTCCAAGCGTAATGGCTATCTTTACTTACTTGGTTTACAGAATTTGTAGTAAATCACTATAACCAGAGTTATTATGGCAGTAAATATGGCAAAGATCAGTGTGACCTGTTCTCCGGTTTGCATCGGTCTGAAATACTGTAGATTAGCGTGCTGGTAATCTCGTCCGGGAAGGTACCGGTAATTAATAAATTGCCGGTGATAGTAGGTCCTTTGAACTACTGCCAGCAGATTCTAAGAATGTTTCAGAGTCAACTCCGAATTGACTACTACAAAGAAAAAATCGCAAAACATAGGGAAGCTTAGCAAATGGGAATTTAGGGCTATTTGATGAAGTACAAATGATTTCGACGTTGACAATCGTCGTCCGAAACAAGCTATCAGAACGACGACTAAACCGATCTGCTGAAGGTAAATTGTGTGAGGAGTGATTTTGGGGCAGAGCGCCGATTGGAAACAATTCGATTACGAGACAGGAAATTGACTTATAACTAGGGGGAAACCGCATTGCAGCACATCCTTCCGCAATAAATATCTGGACATTGACGAAAAAAAAAAGAACTTTGATGATTGTTTTTACTTTCATTAATGGGGGGAACAAGGGCGAACCTAATTATGTGATCCAAAAAACTCCACTACAGGCCTTGATATAAAGCGTTGCGAATAGAGTTGAGCGGTCCGCTTTAAGGATGCGCCACGAATTCGACTGTTCTAGCAATAGCAATTGGCTTGGCCATCAGAATAGGACAACAGTAGTATTGCATCTACCTCACAAACGATAACATATTGTTTACCAAACAGCTTTCGATGCTCAAATTAGGATATTTGAGCAGTAAGCGCTGAATAGCCGTATAAGGAGGAAGAGAAATAAGCCAAGACAGTAGTCCAGCCTCCATTTGGCTTGGCACTTACCCTAGAACGGAGGTTCAACAAACTCTGATAAGAATATGGATGTTGTAACAGCGTGTTGCCCCTCCCTAGTGATTTGGGCTATGTACTATATATCGATACTCTTTTTGGAAAATAAACACTCCCTTGATGCCCAACAGCGAGATGGCCCCAAGGCATGTCAGCTGACTTTTCGTTGTCGTCGAGAAAGGGTAATCGTAGGACAAATGAAGGTAAAGGAGTTACTTAGCCATGTAGCAATATAGACATGAAAGGCATTCGGAGTGCTTGGGCTGCTGCTTAGTGCTTTTTGCTCCCCTCAAAGAGCTTTGGAATAGCCAGTGGCAGAAATAGTCAGAATAGAACTGGCAGTAAAGACAAATGATGGAACGAGTAGCTCTGTTGTGTCTCAGAATTCTTTTTTTTTTACAATGGGAAAAGTTTAGAAGGCATTATACCACAACTACTAAAAATTGAAGTAACAGCTGAGAGTAAAGGCTAGGGAGCCCAGGCGTGGTGATGATAGTCCCCAGAGAATTCTGAGATCAAAACGCGAAACTTTAGAGTTACCCAAAGGTAGGGAAAAGGAATTTGAGTTCAGTGAATCTTGTACTTTTCAGTTCAAAAATCGAAATTGAACTTGAAAACATTATTTCAAAGCAACTTTTGTTGATAAGGTTTTTGAAAGCAAGAGAAATAGCTTGTCAACAGTTATTACTAGGCAAAGTAATGTGGATGAGTAAAGCCACTATGCCATGCTAAGCCCTGAGGAGCTTAAGAATCGTGTGAGAAAGCGGAACTTGAAGTGTTACAGATTATACTAACAGCGAATGGAAAATTCATGAACGATTCCAAACCACAACGATTACTTTACTTTACTATTCGTCATAAGAACTGACTGAAAAAATGAAGGAAGAAAAGCGCAGATGTGTGCTGGGAAGTATAGATAACACAGGAAAACTGGGCCACATGTAGAACGATCTGCTGAAACCGGGCTCAGTAGCAATACTAGAAGTGCAGTTTTCTTGTGGAGGAGGACACAGGGGCAGAATCTTAATAGGAAAGGACAACGCCCTCGGTCCTTGATGAAGAAGCTTTTTCCTATTACCACATACATATGCCGTGTAAATCCTAAACAGCGTCCTCCGATTTTCTGACATTTGAGAATTTTCTCTTTCAATTCTTCTAGGTAGGTATTTCATTTTGAGTTTTTCATTATTGATACTAATATTATATTCCTTGTTTAAAGAATGACTAAATTGGAACAAGCGACAAGGCTATTAGGATTCTGCCCTTACCTCAATCAGCCTTTACTTGATGTGTGGATGGCTCAAATCAATCTCAAGTTACTACCCCTGAATATTTGATTCGTTTCTGTACTACTTCCAAATGGCCTCAGAAAAATAGTCCGTTCTATTGCCCGGCGAATATGCTATGAAACCGTGACAAGGCGAAAATCTTGGACAAATGAAACCACATACTAGTGGCTTCAAAATCGTAAACCGGTCAGCATGGGTACCCTTAAAATCATAAAAATGGCATCTTACATGATTGTTGCTTTTGGGATTCGGAGAAATTTGAATTTAGGCCTGGCAAAGCTTGAAGATTCTTCTTCATTCTAAGGATTGAAGAGACCAGTTGTATTTGGACAAGCCATTTGAACAAGACCGAAGTAACAAATTCTTACAATAAGAAGCTGTTGCTTGAGTCTTTGTTAGAAAAGAGAAATATCATTACGTTTTGAGAGTCGAGAAAAGTTCACCTGTCTCCCTCTATTGCTTCCATCCGGACCTCATAAACCTTCAGACTGTCTAGAACATAGTGCCCATGTAGCATTATGCTAGTAAGGGGAGAGAGAAGGGGTGCCAAAATCAGCTGATCCACATCATGGTGATGATGGATGGTGATGACCTTGTCACAAGTGCTTTCAAGTCTCACTACCAAGAAAACTTTGCGTGAAGCGTCTGATTTGCTTCCTTTCGTGAACTTTATCATTCATACTTCCAAGATGCTACTGAGAATTCGAAATGAACCGCGCTTAACTATTATATTATACTAGAGCGAGGATATCGTTTAATGAAGCTTCTACTGCTGCCACTTCCAACGGCAAACTTGTCTCCTTTGAGAAGTCATCCTAATCCGAGCATTACGATGGAAATGACCAATATGTACATATAACAGTAGCACACGACATAAACACTAGGCATCGTCTTTGCGTTCCTGCTCTTGAGCCTACATTAAGCCTACCTGATAGGCCCTATTTTGCCCTCAAAGTTGTAACTAAGCAGGTATTCCACATTAATCACGCTTTGCAGCCCATAAAAAGTGTTGAGATGCTGTCAGTCAGGACATGTCCTCGGAATGTTGACCTGGGTGAAGTTTTATGGTTCCCCCTAAAACGCCTGACAAGCGCAAAAGTACATACCGCGATTGAGTAGTGCCGCTTGGGTTCTAAGAAAGATGAACTTGGGGAGGCCATTATACATCAATGAGTTTTGTCAGGAATTGCTTACCTATATTCGCAATCACTTTGCAGTGACGAGCTTGATAAAGGCACTGGGAAGCATTTCAAGCCCTATCCAATAAGCCAAAATGGTTAAGCTTCACCTACAGTGAAGCTGAAATGCAAAATGGTCCAAGATTGAAGGCGAAATTTCGAGCAACGTCGTGGTAGGTAGTATAATTGAACGAATTCTGGACTATGTTCCGTAAAATAGTTGTGGATTGAACCGGCTGTTGGGGTTTTTTTAATGAATTCGAAAAAAACCCCGATCCTGATGGATTACTTTTTTAAGAGGTGAATGGGAAGGAAAGGGACATGTGGTATGAGAAGGTTATGGCGCGACATTTTGCAAGTTCTTTTTATTTACGAGCGAATTCCGAAGCATAAAGCATCCAACTCCCTGGTTGACCAACTTACAAGAGATTAGTCAAGAGAGTGAGGCGAGACGACTTCAACTGGTCAATTATTGAGAAAAATCCAATGGAGACGACGGAGTGACCGATTGTGTATGGAGACCAAATTTTGGGCTCATTCCAAAGAGTTCAGCTTTGCTCCGAGCACCTTGGGGGTTAAGCAGACTTGAAGTGACAAAAGTAAACACTAGGCACTACTATACTTGGGAAATGGCTAATAGAGAGCGACAGGTTAATCAACGCTTTAACAGCCAAGTATGCTTCATTGAGAAGGGTTTGTAGTACTATCAGAACCATTCCAATTTGGTGATGTAAATTTCACCTGCATACATGATAGCCCGTATTGTTGGTCTACGCTGAAGGCCTATAGCGTCGTCTCCTTTTTCCCAAGACAACCCGCCCACCTCACTCATTTTTCGGGCAGTTGTTAATATTTTTCGGGTCAGCTCACCCTCGATACAACCCAAATGGCTCACCCACTCAGGGGCGCACCCTCATGGAAAACCCGCTGCCAGTTCACTTTTTGGTGCGCTGTATACATGAACATGAGATGACATACACTAAGCCACAAGAGCATCCAATTTATGTCATACTCATTCCCAAATGACAGCTAAGTAATCCCCATCGTTGCCCCTTGCCTCTCCACTTTGGAGACAACGTGCAGCCTTTGAATAATCCACCTGAGTCCTTCAGGCGGGAGAAGATGGTTGAGAAGAATGTAGGAACCAAAACTAAAGAAAAAATTGAAAACCAGAAGTCTAGGGTGCTCTAGGAGAAAGAAGAAGGTATAGAAGAGTTTTGGAACAGAACCTAAAAAAATTCAGAAACTAGAAGACGAGAACTAAGGGAGATCAAATAGCCTCCATAAATTGTTCCTTCAGAAATATGCTTCTTGAATTTTCCCCTCATCAGGAAGGGTGGGTGCCTATATAGGTATGAGTAAGTCACTGAAGCTAATCCGTCTAATTCACCTAATTCATTTCTTCGGGAACCGTCGTAATGTCCGAGTTTATGTGACATTCAAATGGGCGGTACAAGGGTTCAAAGACGAAAGAATTCTCCCCGTTGAACTCCAAATAGTAGTTGAAGTAGGATTTATGGCTGCTGCCAAATGAGACTCGTAGTTGCGATTATATTGCTTGACGACAAAATTCTTCTGGCAAGGAATCGGTGAATAAGCTGAACGTCTCATTATCTGTCAGGATAAGGATCAGGATCTTCAGCTGGGTCGGACCCCCTAGGGCGGTTGACATCATTCTGATGTTTCGAATTAGAAGGATTTGAAGACAATAGCCTGCCTCATACAGGTAGCAGAGTCTGAA